TCTAATCTAATCTAATCTAATCTAATCTAATCTAATCTAATCTAATCTAATCTAATCTAATCTAATCTAATCTAATCTAATCTAATCTAATCTAATCTAATCTAATCTAATCTAATCTAATCTAATCTAATCTAATCTAATCTAATCTAATCTAATCTAATCTAATCTAATCTAATCTAATCTAATGTCAGAAGAAATATCGGTTTTTAAAAAAGATATAATACTTTCCATATCGGAAGAAATTGAAGAAATTAGAGCAGACACATCATTCGAAAATAGAAACGTTTCCCGATCCAAACCTTCATTTTCTAGTGCTTTTTTTAAGTCGTTCTGCCAGTTCTGATTTCTTCCCTGTCGTCTCCACTTCACGTCCTTCTAACCCTTGACGTAACTCAGGCACCCTTTAATCACACAGTTTTTTAGCCATTATTGTCCACTATTTATTTTCAGTTCCACTTCTAACACCAATGTGACGTTGGTTTAATTTATTTATAGTTTATTTATTTATTTAAAACACACTATTTACAATTTATTTGTGACGTACTTAATAATTTATACCTATAATACTTAGGAACTATTATAACTGACAATTCTAATTTATTTATTGCAATTTATCTTTTCTATCCACCACTTGAATTCAATCTTTCCTACCGTCGACCACTCGCGCTATTTATACAAGGCCCACTATGTACTCGTAGTTTCTAGACACCGAATGTCCGAAAATTCCATCTCTATGACTCAACGGCCACGTATTGATTTTTTTTGTAAATTTGAGGAGCAGTGGGTTTGTCTGTATATGCCAGCGGTATACTTTAAACCGCGGGCAAGGAGTAAACAAAGCACAGGGCAGGCTCCCGTGCGACATATGTAAATTATCAGACTACAAAATATTTTCTTTTGTTTTTTGTGAAAAATACAAACTTAATCTATTTTTAAATTAAAATAAAAATTGTTACGCCAATTTTCATCAATAAAACAAATCTAAGCATTTATGTTACATTATAAAAAACTTAAAGAAAAAGCAATAAAACATATAAAATTTTTTTTACTATATTTTACTAATTTAGAAAGCTAATACTTACCCAAAAACATTTTTTTTAGTAAATAAAAAAACATGCATTTTAGGGTTGGGTAATATAATAATCAAAAATTTTTTGCGTTGTCACGAATGTTAATCTCGACGAAAAAACTGCAACGAGTGTGACGTACGAGATGTATTTTCCAAAGTTTAGAACTGTCACTTATTAATAACAAAATTCAATCAACTTGATTAATGTGACATAGAAATTAATTTCTTTACATAAATATTACAAAAAATATGTAAAATGATTAAAAAAGTATCATTAATTTTCGTTAACATTCTTTAATGGTTACTGATTAAGCATCAATTTCAATTTGTTTCCTAACAACTTTAATTTGTCATAAAATTCGGTAGTTTATTAATGAATAGCAATCAAATTATCGTAATTAACAAGATTTACGCATTATAAAACAGTAAATACCTTATTGATCATTATTATTAAATCATTTATATGATGTGTACCTACCTAATTTATTTACTCATGCTTTTTCGTTTCTGAGAAAGGTCAATAAATTAAAATTGAAATCGAGGTCCAAATAGAAGAAGAAAATTTTAACATCATATAAAATAATCAAAATTAAAAATTGTAGCAATGTACCTATACAATAATGTTAAATGAATTGCATTGTTTAGTAAACTTTTAATAATTGAGATGTTCGGGTAAAACCCATATGGATAAAGGAGACTTACATGAAGTGTACAGAGTAGAATTGATACATTTAAACACAATTCGAAAATAATAAAAATTTTACTACCATAGAACTAATATTCTTAAAAATATCTAAAAATAAGAAACTTTATTTAAAATTAAGTAAAAACATAAAATACAATTTCATAATTAATAAATACAACAAACCAAGGCCGTAATATATTTTATAGCGAATTAATCTGGAATCACGTGATTTAATCCGAACTTTCATATTAAAAAATATACATTTTGTATGTAAATTAATATTACATACATTGATTTAAGGTATTAATGGCAAATTTGTGGTTCCATTTTATGAGTGGTAATATTTGCCAATAGGTTTATTATGTAAATTAATTTAAACTGGGAATTTCAGTTGATTTAAGGTATTAGTGGTAAATTTATGGCAATATTTGCTTATAGGTTTACTGTGTTTGCTCAGATATTAAAAGTATATAACAACAATAAATCTAAGGAATTGGAATTTATTAAAAATATCCTACAGTACTATGGCATGCACTTGAGCGTACATTGAGAATCATTATTCAAAATAATTTAGAAATTATGAGCATATCCATTAGTAAATTTAAAACTATTGTCAGAAATTTTATAAAAATATTTGATGTGTCCAACACATGACTCTGATAGAAAGGCCATTTCATACAAACCAACATGCCTATCAATCAGGAAAATCTTGTGAGTCTGCTCTGCATCATCTTGTAACCAAGATAGAGGGAGGACTCAGTAGCCAAGAAATAGTCCTAAGAGCATTTCTTGACATAGAAAGAGCTTTTGATAATACCTCCCTTAAATCAATGGTAGCTGCCGCTCGCAAACATAGAATAGAAGACACCATCTGTTGGTGGATAGAAGACATGTTATGCGAACGGCAAGTACAGGCACAAATGTTCAGTAAAACCATGCAGGTGAATATCCACAGGGGATGCCCACAGGGTGAAGTTCTTTCTCCTCTACTGTGGAACCTAGTGGCAGACGAATTGCTGAAAACACTAAACAATCAAGGGCTGTATGCCCAAGGATATGCCGATGACATAGTCATCCTTATCCGAGGGAAACACCAAACCACAGTCTTTGAACTCATGCAAACAGCTCTTAGGCTGACAGAAATGTGGTGCGTTAGGGAAAACCTCTTGGTAAACTCTGACAAGGCACAACTCATAACCTTTACTCGAAAAACAAAATTGGAGGTTTTAGAAACTCCGACTCTGTTTGGAGGAAGGCTAAACAAAACGAACCAAGTAAAATATCTGTGTCTAATCCTAGATAGCAAACTTACTTGGAACCAACACTTACAAAAAGTGAACAACAAATGTAAAATGTCTCTCATTGTAGGGGCATTTGGAAAAACATGGGGATTAAAACCAAAAATGGTCCACTGGCTATATTTGGCAATAACAAAACCCATGATAACTTATGGAGCGGTTGTTTGGTGGCCTAAAGTAAACCAGAAAGCAGCCCTCAATACCCTCTCAGGAGTACAGAGGCTGGTATGCCTTTGTATTACAGGAGCACTGAGAAGTACACCGACAGCCTCTATGAAAATCATTCTAAACCTCTCACCCCTTGACTTAGTCATAAAGGGGGAGGCCAGAATGAGTGCATACAGACTGGAAATCTTCAACAACTGGAACCCACTGGGACATATAAAACATACCAGAATAACACATGAAGTAAATGATTCTATATTAAATATGGGATCAGATCACATGACATGCCTCCTAACCTTTAACAGACTCTTCCAGCTCAACTGTAACTGGAACGAGGTAAATAAGGAGATAGATAAATACTTGCTTAGCGGCCTCGTATGGTATACGAATGGATCTAAAACTAACAAGGAAACAGGCTTTGGCATACATGGAGTTAAAACCAAATGCGACATCATCGTCTCACTGGGAAAACATGCCACTGTATTTCAGGCTGAAATACATGCAATCGAATTGTGTGTACGAGAGAATTTAAGAAGGAAGTACAAAAAACAAACCATCCTAATTCTCTCAGATAGCCAGGCAGCTTTAAAGGCTCTTGATTCAAACAGAATTAAGTCAAAGCTTATCTGGAACTGCCTTGGAATACTAACTGATCTGGCAACCCACAACAAGGTAAAACTGGCGTGGGTACCAGGGCACAAAGGTATCCAAGGAAATGAAAAGGCTGATAAACTCGCCAAAGAGGAATCAGATCTACCATTCACAGGACCCGAACCTGTATTTGGGATAAGCAAAACCTCTGATCGACAGGCAGTGAACAGGTGGATAACTATAAAACACCAAATTCACTGGCAACAGATAAGAGGGCACAGAATCAGTAAGCTCATGCTAAGGGGACCAAACCCACGCATGGCTACTGAGGCACTACAACTCGCAAGGCCTCAGATATCCAACATTGTGGGATTACTAACGGGACACTGCTTGCTGAAACACCTTTATGTAATGGGATGACCCAATGATCCCACTACGTGTAGGCTTTGCATGGAAGAGGAAGAAACCTCATACCATGTGATCTTCATATGCGAAGCTCTTACTGGGCGACGTTTAATCCTTTTCGGCCTAGAACCGGAAAGAACGAACCAGGAACACTTGGTAGGGAACTTATTAAAACTAACCAAAGACACAGGACTATTCCAAAGATAGTACCTGAATACGGGGAAAGCAAGGGAATACAATAGACCCAAGAGGCCGCAGTGTTCTGGGCCAAACCTAACCCTACCTGCTTACAACCGATAAAGATAAAGATAAAAAAAACACATGGCTCTCCTATCTAGTTATTATAGGCTTTTTCCGGTATTTTGTACAACCTATTGCAGCACCTCTATAAATGTTTAGAGGGTAAACTTAATAGGTAAAAACTACTTTTAAATATGAAAGGGATAAACTACACAGCCTGACAACAGCGCATCAGGAAACGCATGTCGGTTCATTTACGCTATAGCTACGCGCTACGTTTTTTTGCAATGTATGACCGGGTTTTAAATGTAAATAGAGGAGCTTTGGAAAAAGCCCTATGGGCTCGAAGCCTAGCGGTGGAGAACATAGAGAACAGACAATCTAAGTCTAAAGACCGTTATGACTCCATTCATCGAGTGCTTGATTTTAAGCCAGGAGACAAAGTAAAAGTCTCACACCTATATGGATGGTATGGAGATCAGAGAAGCTATTATTAAGGTGGTTTGGTCCCTACTTTATAACTAAAAAGAAAGGGGAAGTAACTTACGAAATCCGTAAGGGGCCATCCCCGAATTGTAAACGGGAGGTGGTCCACGTTACCCGGATTCTGCTGTATCACGATCCTTGGACACCAGAAGTAACTCCTCAGGACGTCGAGGATCTGTAAATAAGAGAAAGAGAGCTAAGAAAAAAATATATTTTTTTTGTTTTAACGAGTAGGTAGCGCTCGTTAGACACTGTGTATTTTATAGTAATTATATGGGATACTGAAGCTCTAAACTTATTAAAGAGGAGGACCCAAGGAAGATCAAAAGGAATCTCGATAAATGCCTAGGAAAAAGGCATGAAAAATAGGTCCCTCCAAGTGAGTAAGGAACAAACACAAAAAAAAGGAATATACTTTATTCAAATAATCTCGACCGATCGTCAACGTAGACCAAAAGGAACTCCCCGAATATTCACTTGAAAAGTCTGAAGCGTGTTCTTCTTGATCTTTTTTGACCATGTAATTTAACATTATGATTTAATAAAACCTGGTCCAACTACACGTTTTATTATTTTATTGAATATTTGTCCTTGGACAAAACTTTACAAATCATAACATACTTATTTACAGGGTGTTATATTTATTCGTAACATGTAATAATGATTTTTATGTGAATGATTTGCTCACTGGTGCCAATTCAGTTAAGCAAGCTAGGATGTTAGCTTGGGATGTTTCGGAAACATTGGCTGAATATGGTTTTTCATTAAGAAAGTGGAATTCAAATGCAAAACAAGCATGAGATAAGGTCTCTGAAAATAAAGACTCTTTAGGATTTTTAATAACTGATCATGATCTTTCTAAAACTCTAGGAGTTTTTTGGAATGCACAATGTGATAATTTTGAATATTCAATAAACTATTTAAATTTAAATGTTTCTCATGCCACGAAATGTTCTATTTTAGCTGCAATAGCGAGAGTTTATGACCCTTTGGGTTTATTAAGTCCAGTCATAATAAAATTAAAAATAGTAATGTAACATTTATGGTAATTTAAAATAGGATGGGATGATTGCGTTCCCAAAGATGTATTGAATATGTGGAGAGACTTTGAAAGTTAACTCAAGTTTCTAAATTATTTAAAAATTCCCAGACATGTTACAATTTCAAATTATAGTACTATTGAATTACACGGATTTAGCTACGCTTCTGAAAAGGCTAGTGGTGCCTGTGTGTAGGTTAAGTCAATAGATAATGATGGTAATATTTTTGTTAAACTTTTTTGTGCTAAATCTCATGTAGCTCCTTTAAAAACGGTTTCATTACCGCGACTCGAACTTTGTGGTGCTCTTTTACTCTCTCGTATAATGCAAAGGGTAAGAGAAGGATTTATAGATCTAAGTGTACAGACTTGTTATTATATTGACTCAACGATTGTATTAGCGTGGTTGGCTGAAGAACCAAATGTTTGGAAAACGTTTGTGGCGAACCGCGTTAGCGAAATTCAAAAGAGTACAAATTTGTAGAATTGGAAGCATATTAGTTATTCGCAAAACTCTGCTGATATTGTATCGCGAGGCACAAGTCCGCTACTATTAGGGGAATTTAATATGTGGTGGTACGGACCTTTATTTCTTATTGAACCCAATTCAATTGATAACCCGGTAATTAAGACTCGTAATGTTCCTGATAAAAAAAAAATAAAACAAATAAATTTAGTAGCACAAGAGTCTGAAATAAATGATTTCATGTTGCGTTATTCATCGCTGCGTAAGCTTCATCGAATAACTGCCTGGTGTAAGCGTTTTGTTATAATTTCAGGAAAATAAAGGAAAATCGCACTATTGGAAATCTTGATGTTGGTGAACTTCAAGATTCATTTTTAACTTTACTTCGTTTAGTTAGGGTCAGGTATTTTTTAAGGAAATTGAAGCAATTAATAAGGGAAACCGAATTTCCAACAAAAGTAAATTAAAATCTTTAGATCCGTTTATGGACAATGATAAAGCAAATCTCAGTTAAAGTTTGATCGTGAATTTCCAATTGTACTACCCTATCGGCATCATTTTACTTATCTTGTGATCAAACACGAGCACTATAGGCAATTATATGCAGGTCTTCAGGCTATTTTAGCAGCGGCCAGGCAATGGTTTTGGCCAATTAACGGTCATATGGCTATACGTAGTGCGCTTGCGCAATTAGTTTTATGCGTTCGAGCTAATACTGTGTCCCGAAGCCAAAAAATGGGCGAATTAAAATATCGTCGGTGTCGTTCTAATACCTCGTAACCCTCATTTTGACAAAAATGAGATTTTTACGTCAAATTGTTGCGGTTACCCATATTTACCATTACAGAAAACCTCGTAGCCCACAAAATTTTTAAAACTTTAAAAATTTAACTTTTCTAATACCTCGTATAGTAATAGTAATAAATAAACAGAATGGTTTTTGGCTTCTCCTGTAAAATGTTACTTTTGGGCTTACGAGGTATTAGAACGACACCGGCGATATGCTAAAGGCATATATGTGTATTTTTGTTTGTTTTAGCACAAAAGCAGTGCATATAGAGTCAGTTAGTAATTTAACAACTGAAGCATTTTTGAATACACTTAAAAGATTTGTATCCCGTAGGGGATTGGTTAAAAAACTTTATTCTGATAATGGTTCTAATTATGTTGGAACCTATTATGTATTAAATGATAAGTCTTGATTTATTAAGGAGGTCAACACAGATACTAAGTTTTTAAATTTTTGTAATGATAATGATATTAAATTGTCAATTATACCTCCAAGGTCTCCACATCCAGGAGGAATTTGGGAAAGTGTAATCAAAAGTGCTAAGTATCATGTAACACGTATTGTTGGTAATACACTTCTTACTTTTGAAAAAATGTTTACTATTTTTACTTAGATTGAAGCTATCCTGACCGTCCCCTCACTGAGATTTCCTCGAACCCAAATGATTTTTTTCCATTAACCCCTGGCCATTTCCTTATTGGTGCACAACTTACTTCAATACGCGAGTTGAGCGTGCAAGAAGTGCCTGATAATCGTCTTTCAAGATATGAGCTGCTTCAAAAGCTTCAACACCATTTTCGGACCAGGTGGTCTCTAGAATATCTTTCCAATTTGCAAAGTCGTTTAAAATGGAATCAAATACATTATAATGTAAAAATCGGAACTTTAGTAATCCTGAAGGAAGAAAATCTAGCTCCGATCCAAAGGCGCATGGGCTGCATCACTAAATTACATCCCGGGAAGGATGGTATTGTGAGGGTAGTTACCTTGTGTACTTCAACTGGAACATTTAAAAGTGCTCAGCAAAAGTTGTGTGTCTTGCCAATTGAGTAATAAGTGTTGACTCTGCAAATTTTCTTATTCTAAAGTTTCAGTTCTTTTTTAATTCTATTTGCTGATTTAAACTAATTATGTATATTTTAGTTTTACTGTTCACTTTAAGTTTGTTACTTAATTTTGAAGGCTGCTCCTTCAAGGCCGGCGGCTATGTTTAATGTTAATACGCTTCTCGGCCCAGTAGCCATTTCCTGTTTTTAAAATTACCGCTATTCCCGCCCAAATGCGCGAATGAAATGGTTACTAGCTGTTAGCCGGCAGAATGAAAAAGACTCTCTCGAAACACGTTGTATGTACACGCAATGTAAATTGTTTAACCTATTTGATGTGTTTAAAACCAAATAAAGTTTTATATAAAATGGGTCAAAGAAGTATTATTAATTAAAAGTTGATACAGTCCACAAAGAGCCAAGAATAAACAGTAACCGGTTCAGTTGTTGATACTTCCGGTGTTGAAGTTTCTGCTGTAACATCTGGCAACGCCGATGTTGTTGCCATTTCAGAAGTAGATGTTTTTGGTTCTAAAACATCCAATAAATATTCACTAACATTAGTTAGATTACTTAGTTCCAATGGCAGGTTCTCGGCGAGCTCCAAATCACTGATATTTTCACCGAGACATTTAGAAATAATCTCATCGTTCTCGGATGTGAGCACATCCGTCTTGTAGTCATATTTCGGATCGGCTATGCTATCGTCATCATCTTCGTAAACTGACGCGTCATCTGAATTAGGAATAGAGTTCATAAGCTCCTCGATTTGTTCATCGGTAATTGTGGAAAGGTCATATTTTGCCCTTTTTTCTGTCTCTGTCAGCTCGCGATATATTTTCGCGCCATACTTTCTTCGTCTTTCTGATATACCCTCTTCCATTGTTTACAGTACTACAACAACAATAGTATATAAACACCCTCGTACAGATAAAAAAGTAAGAGCAAAATGTAGAAATAGCACAAATATGTAATTTTATTCAAATACGCGTAGGATTTTTTTTTACCGTAGACTGGCATGCCGGCCAAAAGGCGGACATTACTCAACACTCAAAAAGCATCACTATTTTTGTTATTTCTCACCAAAAATGTTAACAAATTGTCTAAGAAATGTTATAAGAACTTACCAAAAAATCTCAAAATAAATTGAACTACTAAAACTATTTTATTTTGTGATCTAATTACACGTGTTTAGGAGCACTAATGTTTACTTCCGACTCACTTGCTTGTTGACACGTAACTGACCATATATGTAAAGCGACTAAACATAGAACGTTTAGTGGTTGCTGTTGCTCGAGCCAATTCTTGCCCAAAAGCGATATAGTCGATGTGAACGCAAATAAATTTTACATTTCAAAATAATTCGTTTAGATTAATGCCGGCCATATGGCGGAATTACCCATTAAAGGGTTACTACCCTTTTTATAGTTATTTATGTATCCTCAGGCTGTCCCTCGGGCCAGAGGTCCTCGGGACGCAAACTGCCATCGTTAATTAAGGCCCTTATAATTCCCGTGTTATGGAAAAAATGTACCAATTTATTACCTTCCCAGTATATTTGAATCAGGTACCGTTGACTATAAGAGTTTTGTTGTTGCTATGTTACTTACAGAACTATAAAGACTAGAGATAGTCTTCATAAAAAGAACTTTCTTATCAAGCTGTGTTTGCGTTAAAAACTACTTCTATCCCAAATATAATGGAGCAGATTTTGAAAAAAGCTAAAAAAGCAAGAGAATCATTAATTCCATTGAAAAGTGAAGCCGTATACCAAAAAGAATACAAGATATATCTGGAGTGGCTGACACGGAATAATGTTATGCCAAAAGATGCCACTGAAACTGTATTACTGGCATTTTTTCAAGAATTGGTAAGAAATATTTTATATTTTTCGGTAGATTTGGTAGTAATTGTGTTTATTCGTTACAGTCAGAAACGTTTAGTACGAATTCTTTATGGACTAAATGGTCAATGCTAAAATCGATGGTGACTATACATGAGAAACGAGATATCACCAAGTTCAATGAACTAGAGGCTTTTTTGAAACGAAAAAGCCTACTGTTTTATCTCCTAATGATGTTATCAGATTTCTAAAGAACGCTCCTAATGAAATTAATTTATTGCATAAGGTAATTTTTTTTCCTATTTTCCTTTTTGTGTGTATTTATTTCCTTTTTTTGTTTAAGGTTGTTTTGATTATGGGTTATTTTGGAGGATGCAGAAGTCAGGAACTTTTGAATATGAAGATATCGGATATAGAGGACCGGGCTTCCGTTATGGTAGTAAACGTACCGGAAAGTAAAACTGGGGTATCGAAGAAATTTACAATTGTGGATGAAAAAGAGTTCTCCGCTTTGCATTTGTTAAGACTTTATATGTCTTTGCGCCCTAAAGGTATTAAACGATTTTTTTCTGAGCTACCGACAAAATAAATGTACATCTCAACCAATTGGAAAAAACATGTTTGGGAAAATCCCCAACAAAATCGCAATGTATTTAGGATTGCCAAACCCATCTTTCTATACGGGACATTGCCTTTGTCGCACTTCTGCTACTGCTCTAGCCAATGCAGGAGCAACTATGACTAACTTAAAAATCTGATGTGTCCTACACATGACTTTCCTATCTACTTTATTATAGGCCTTTTCCGGTTATTTTGTACAACCTATTGCAGCACCTCTATAAATGTTTAGAGGATAAACTAAATATATACATTTTCCACATACATCTAACTCGGCACATTTTTCTATAATATATATTCCATAAAATATAAAAAGGGCCTCCCATAAAGTACCCCCCCCCCTCCAGATGTTCCGCATTCGTCCAAAATCTAATCATTTCACCTCAGGCCGAATAAAAAACTTGGGTTTAAAATTTAATGTTTTTGCTTTTATCCGTTTTTGAGTTTTCTTTAAAATTCGAAATTTACACATTTTCTCAAATATCTCGAATACAGTGCATTTTAGAGAAATTATGCATAGAACAAAAATTATAGAAAATTATATTACAAACAACTTTTATTTAAACAATTTTTATAATAAATTAATTTTTTTACATTTTGTCAAATTTCTCGAATACGGACCATTGTAGGAAAATTTTATATAAAACAAAAATTATAGATAATAATATTGTAAGTAACTTTTATTTGAAGAATTTTCTTCTCCAAACGTAAATAACGAATATATTCCATAAAATATACAAATGACCACCAGTAAAGTAGTCCCCCTCCAAATGTTTCGACTCTATTCAAAATCTAACCAGTTCACCGCAGGCCGGATTAAAGCTTAAATTTCAAATTTGGTGTTTTTCTTTGTATCGGTTCATGAGTTATGGTGGATACAGACCATATACAGACACACACACACGCACACGCACACGCACACGCACACGCACACGCACACGCACACGCACACGCACACGCACACGCACACGCACACGCACACGCACACGCACACGCACACGCACACGCACACGCACACGCACACGCACACGCACACGCACACGCACACGCACACGCACACGCACACCCACACGCACACGCACACGCACACGCACACGCACACGCACACGCACACGCACACGCACACGCACACGCACACGCACACGCACACGCACACGCACACGCACACGCACACGCACACGCACACGCACACGCACACGCACACGCACACGCACACGCACACGCACACGCACACGCACACGCACACGCACACGCACACGCACACGCACACGCACACGCACACGCACACGCACACGCACACGCACACGCACACGCACACGCACACGCACAGGCACTCGCACACGCACAGGCACACGCACAGGCACACGCACAGGCACACGCACACGCACACGCACACGCACACGCACACGCACACGCACACGCACACGCACACGCACACGCACACGCACACGCACACGCACAGGCACACGCACACGCACACGCACACGCACGCACCCACACACGCACGCACCCACACACGCACACACACACACACACACACACACACACACACACACACACACACACACACACACACACACACACACACACACACACACATATAAAATATGGTTCAGTTTTCATTTCATAAATATATACACATTAGCATTTTTTATTTTATTATTTTATAGAATCTATAATGTCCCAAGGGAGTTATGACCCTCTTTATTGATAGCGTAACTATGATGATATAAGCTTATAATAGCCCTGTCAGAAATAAAATTTTTAATATGACAAAAAGTTAGACATAAATTGATAAAATGCATTTTGTTAAAACATTAAAAATTTGACTTGTTATGTTTTCCTATATTACGACAGAACAAGCTTACATGTGTTGTGTAATGTCTCTTACAAAAATAAAAAATGTTGGCATTGAGAATCTCTAACTTTTCGTATTCACCATTAGGCGATATTTTTAAGTACGACTGTCGCGAGTGAACTACCTTAATATCCAAAAAAATAAAATACATAAATTTTAGCAAATTCTGACAGTGCTCAATATCAAAATGCGCGGTCCTTTATTCAATATATCTGTAAAAACGCTCAAGAGATCCGTTTGTAATAAATTAGAAATAATTTATCAGGTGCATTAACTAAATTCCATGGTAGGTATAATTTAACAATTGTGCAATATGAAGCTACGATGCCGTAATGTTAGAATGACATTAACCGGCGAAAGTTTTCAATACATTATTTATTATCAATGTTAGATCGATCAACGAACAGCTCATCTTGACGAACGAGACAAGGACATTGGTAGATAACAAGATTATAGTTGTCTTACAAGGAAATGGGTATCTGGTTTTATTTCTTGTAAAATCTTGCAAAATATATTTACTAGAATAGTTATAATTTACGACCAGGTATAATCCTATTTGAATTCTATGAATATTTCGGCTAGTTTAATAGTAATTTATTTACAATGGAAAAGTTCGATAACATCCTTGTTGTAATAGTTGTTATTAAAAAAATGTATTAACAAAATTTGTAGGGTGACATTTTAAAATTACATAGAGTTGGTTATACAGGGTGTTGCATTACTCAGGTACTAACCAGACCAGAACACCAGTTTATTATTTTAGATTACCCTCATTGTTTACATTCTTCTAATATATGGTTTATCTAGATTATATAGGTTACTCTCAAAGTCATTGGTACTTGTGTGAAAGTAAATCAACGTCCTGTAGCCAATTACATGCTGTGAAAAAAATTGTTTTTTTTTACCTACTCGTAATGAACAAATTAAAAATCTGTCATGTAAACGCACGATCGATTTCACGAATTTTGGCTAATTTTAAATGTACTGTATGTGACAGATACGATATTATTTCAATTTCTGAAACTTGACTCACTGCTAATATTTTTAGTGATATTATTGACTTTCCAGAATATAGGTTATTTCGTGAAGATAGAAATGATGATCGTAGAGGTGGAGGTGTCCCAGACAGCACAAATCAATCCATTGGATGTTTTTTCAAAGACCGTTGATGGACATATTGGCTATTCAACCAGAATTTTACTGAAGAACATCCAATGGACATCCATTGGTCTATACAAATATGCCACTCCTAGACGTCCTTTTGGGTTCCATGAAAGGTCCATATATGGACTCTTTTTGTATTGATTTTGGACAATTTATGGACATCTGATGGACATCACCACCTATATTAATAGGAAATAAAACAATTGCAACTCTGATTATATTTTTATTGTCATAATATTAAGCATCTATTGATTTTATATGCACTTCTTTCTGTTGATCTTCTTAGCCATTTTCTTAAGGCTATTTAGCTTACTTTTTAAGCAGCAATATTGTCACTTTCAGCAGCAACTAAAAGAAAACATTACATTTTATACGAATATTGAGTCTTAAATCAATCTTT